AGTTCAGTGTCTTACAAATGAAACTAGGTTTCTGGAGTGGACATAGGAAAAGCATCTTACGGTGTTTCTGGTTCTATTTCTCAAAGGCTTTGAAGCTTATAATTAGTTGCTCTTGAATCCCTGTGGCTGTGGTGCTTCACAGCTTTATTTCTGGTCTGCAGTCCTTCAGTCAGAGAACAGGGTAGGTCCAGGCAAGGCCTGCACCTTTTCATTTGGACACTTCCCGGAGACAGTTGGGATTTTGACTTGAAGACCGTGTTCGTGCTCCATGCAATCCTGGAGAACAGTGCTCGCCGAGGTGACCCAGGTGAGGGTTGTGGTGGCAGGATTGTAGGAGTGCCCTCAAACACCCAGGGCGCCTCCCTTCTCCCCTCCTGTCTGGGCAGTGAGTGGGGAGGACACATGATGAACCTGTGGATTGTCCCCTTTCACCTTCACAGGAGGAAAATGGAGGCATAATGGGTCTCTGAAATTGTGAACACAGAAAGTGGGTGGGCAGACGGTAGAAATTAAAATTGGTGGGTTTTTTTAAGTTGAAGTGTAGTTGATTTACAGTGTTGTGTTACTTTCTTTTTTTTAATTTATTTTTTAATTTTTTAATTTTTTGGCCACACCGCATGGCATGTGGGATCTTAAGTTCCCGGACCAGGGGTTGAACCTGCGCCCCCTGCAGTGGAAGTGCAGAGTCCTAACCACTGGACCGCCAGGGAATTAATTCCCTGTGTTACTTTCTGAAGTATAGCAAAGTGATTCAATTATATATATAGATCTACTTATCTGTCTTTTTTTAGATTCTTTTCCGTCATAGTTTATTACAAGATATTGAACATAGTTCCCTGTGCTATACAGTAGGACCTTGCCATCTTTTTTTTATATATAGTAGTTTGATTCTGTTAATCCCAAACTCCTAATTTATCCCTCCCTCCCCCTTCCCTCTTTGGTAACCATAAGTTTGTTTCCTATGTCGGGGAGTCTGTTTCTGTTTTGAAAATAGGTTCAAAATTGGTGTTTTTAAGATTGAGGAAGAGCAGCTGGTGGCCATTCTCTCCCTTTCCCCCTTCTCAGCTGTATATTCCCAATCCTTAACAAGATCTCTGGATTTTCTTTAAATATGTCTTCAAGAGTTCGTCCAATATGGAAAGTTGGGTTTGGGGTTTCCCATCAAAACCCCACCTCTTGAAAACTCTAGACTTATCCATGTAAATTGCACAGACCAACACGTGGCAATCCATAGTGCAGAGTCGTGGATAATTAGTATGGTCAATTAGTATGGTCGTCTAGAGGTTTCACATTAGGAGGACTAATCACATTAGGTGCTAGCTTATTTGGGAACGAATCCATTTTTCATCTGCCTGCCAAGGCCTCATCATGGGTGGTGTTGCGAGTCTAGTCCTCCGATGCCTGTTTGACCTTGAGGGGCCTGGAGATATTGCATTGGGAGTAGGAGATGGGGCCGGGGGGGGGGGGGACACGCTTGTTTGATTTGTAGATTCATCTCATGACCTTTTGAAATAGCATTTCTTTCAGTTAGTTCAGAAGCTTCCTCTTCGGCTTTTGATTTTGCTGATTTGGTCAGTGGGAAAAAAAAAATACTGCTAATCTCATTATCGCAGTAGAATTTTTAAATAAAGTAAATAGATAGGAGATCAAGGCTTTTAACTTGAAATTGTCATTTGGTAGCAGCTCAGTGTCTGGTGTAGCCTTTTAGGGTTGCTGTTCTTTCTCGGTTGATGAAACAGTCAAATATGCCAGAGAGTATTTCTCATCTTTGTTCCCATCTTTGTTGTTGGTTCCTCAGAGGATTACCATCTGCTGCAAAAACATCCTCGAGCTGAGGGATGGGTCATCCTCAGGTCCAGCTTTCTTTGTCTCTCTCCTCCCCTGTTCCGTCTCCGCCTCCCTCCTCTCACTTTTCGCCCATGTGTGCGTCCTCAGTCTCATAAACACGTCAAGTTTCTGTGTCTTTGATTGTTTAGGCCATGCAGGCAATTTCTGTTTCCTTCTGTCAGCGTCTCCAGGAGCAATGTGTGCACAAAGACAAAATGGCTTTCAGAGGAGGCCACATCCTCATCTGAGGACTCAGTGCAGACATCCAATTGAAGGCCACTCGGTGGTAACCAGACACTGGTTCTCTCGGCAGCCTGGAGATTAACCTCTTCTAAGGCTCTGTGCTATTTTTGAGGTAGAGTCTGCAACGACATTAAAGCTAGAACCTATTAGGAAATCACTTTCATCATCTCTTCTTTTTCCAAATCAGTGGCTTGTTTTTTTTTTCCTGATCTCCTAACCCTTTAATCTCCTTTGTAGCAGAACAAGGAGACCGTTGGTTTGTTTGCATCCAGCGAAGTTTGAATCCTTCCTTGCTAAGAGCTTCGGAAGACACCAAGATATTAGAGAACCGTGCAGAGAGATGAATTTCATCTCGGGGTGGATGACTTAATGCCAAAGGTGCCCTGCTTTCCTTGGGCAGAACTGTCATTTTTTTGGTGGATGTTGTGCGAACTAGGCTCAAACTTCCCAAAAGACACACAGCAGAAAGCCTTTTGTTGCATTATTTCTAAAGGCTTGAAGTTTTGAAGGGAAGAGATTTTGTTTTGCTCTCGGCTACACAATGGAGCTTTCAGAGAACCTCTTTTAAAAGGAATAGCTACAGCCTTTGTGTTGAAGGGTGTGCCTGTTGGCAGGGTCCGCTGATGCAGACAGACTGGCTGGTGATTAACAAAGGTCATTAGACTTTGGAATCTGGCAAGCAGAGTCGGATGGTATGTCTTCTGTGTGTGGAAGGACGACTCCCAAGAAGCCAAGGCATTCTGGAGGTTCCCCCCTCCAGCCCACCCCCAAAGGCAGCTGGAGAACAGGGTCTGGTCCAGGAACGTCCTGCGGTAACCAGGGCTGTGCTGGGATGAACGGACTAGCCCATCAGGCATGGGATAAAAGAACCTTCGGAGATCCTGGTGAATGACATTTGAGGAGGAGAGAGGTGCTGCTTTTTCGGGAAGGAGTGAAAACAGTTCCTCCTTTGTTGGGAGGAGGAGGGCAGAGGAGGGGCCCAGGCTGCTCCTCTCCTGTTGCCTCGGCCCGGCAGCCTGGCAGCATCCATCCCAGAGAAGCCATGTTGTGCTCAGAAGGGAGGCTCTGAGCTAAAATGGCCGCTCCTGAAGCTCAGAGGACTAGGGCAGCTTAGTGAGACTTAGAGCTCCAGTGACGCAGGAGCTCCTATCTCTTGAAAGTGTGATAAACACATTCAGCAGAGCTGTGGCTTGTTTGGCTGAGATGAAAGGACTAAGCTGGGGGGGATGGGGAGCGCACACTGGATGATCTGCCTTTTTGCCGTGAAGTGTTCTAAATGCAGGAGTCGTCTGCACTATGGAAAAATTTGTGTTCAGGTCTAATGGGCTGTGCGAAAAGGAGAAGTGGGGTGGGGCCTCGGTGACGGCTGTAATTTGATCCAGAGCTGATAGCAACCTCTTCCACACAATTTGGGTTGGTGCTGAGACAGAAAAGCTGGTGTGGCTGGGAATATGGAGGCTGAGTTAGCCGACAGGGACTCTGGTGCACAGTTCAGGGTTTATTGAAAAAAAGGAGAAATTGCTGGGTGAAAGGGGAGAAGGTAAATCTCTGTGTGTCTCACTCTGCAAGCTCAGGCTGTCCAGAGCTGGACTTGCCAGGAGTTATTTTCACAGGAGCATTCTTTCAGAGAAAATCCTCCTGCCATAGCTCCTTTCACTGCATTGACAGATTTCTCCACTGTATTCTTCCTGCAGAAATCATTGATCTTTTACAATAAAAGTATAGAAAGTTGCTGTACGATCAAAGTATCGAAAGATTTGGCTTGTGGCTTTTGTTCTTGGACATCTGGTTCTAGATTACAGTGACTCAGTAGAGTTTGCTATGAGCTCAGTGAAGTAACTCAGTCATTAAGATAATAACTGGGTATCTCAACTTAAGATAGGAAGGCGTATGCCTTCTCATACATTTTTAACTTCTTAATGGTGGGCCGCTCCACTGAGTTCGTGTGAAGCTATCTGTATCTTTCAATCACACAGTAAATAGCAGGACAGAGGCAGCCGGGCAAGTTTTACTTTATTCTGAATCAGGTTCACTGCTTGTTATGGCCAAGTATGCACTCCACATTTGTAAAGGGGAGAAGTAGAAAAAGGGAAAGTCCTGCCTTAGAAGCCCTTCTTCCAAACCACGTGCATTTCTGTTGCCTTAGTGTAAATCGAGGTACCGAGGTGCAACCTGAAACTAGAAACTGGATTGTCATCTAAAGTTGGTTGTTTAAGAATCTCTTGAGAAATATTTTATGACCTAATTAGATTGGAGAAGCTGTTAGGTTATAATTGGTAGGTAGTAAAAAGCAAATAACCATTTAGCTCATGAAAAAAAAAATAAACCGTTTAAAGAAGGGAAGAAGGAGGTGTACCGCAATATCAGTTAAGAGAGTAGAAGAATAAAAAGGTACAATACAAGCGCTTCCTACTGCCACTCAGAGATTCAGTACTGTTTCACCATTTGGTGATAAAACATGAATGTTTTACAGTATTAAAACAGCTAATGAAGAGTGAAGTTTGTCCTTTCTTCTGTATGGGCCACCTCTTTACTTCTGAGAAGATTCTGGTTCAAAAATAAAACTGGTCCCAGCCGGAATCAAAGTCAGTATTAACCTACCAAGAAATCTGGATTCAGTCAAGAAATTCAGAAACTACTAAAACTTTTGAAGTATTAGGGGTTTCTTTGGCACATAGCACTTGCAGATACATCAAGCTAGAAAAAGTTTACCTGGTTTTTCCCCCCTTCTTTGAAGTTAGGAAGTCAAGGACACCATCCCTGTTATGTCTGATTTCCTTTCTTTGGCCAGTGTTCCATCTGGCAAAGTCCAGTGAGAGGAAATGGCCGATATTGGAATTTCTTCCATCAATGGACTTGTAGCCCCAGCAGCCTGGGGTACGCGATGAGCGCAGGCCTTAAGGTGTTTCGTCTGCCTTCTGCCACCGCAGGTTCCTAATGTGAGAGGGTAGACCCAGATGATGGAGGTGCTTCAGTGCGATGGCTGTGACTTTAGAGCCCCGTCTTACGAAGATCTCAAGGCGCATATCCAGGATGTCCACACGGCATTTCTGCAGCCGACGGACGTTGCCGAAGACAATGCAAACGAGCCGCGCTCTGGGTCCATGAATGCCAGTAACCAGACAGAGGTGGAGTTTTCGTCTATAAAGGATGAATTTGTGATTGCAGAGGACTTATCAGGTAAATCTGTCCTGGGCTCGGCATATCTGATGTATTTCACTGCCCTCATCTATTTTGAGCCTGTAGCCGTGGTTCTTTTTTTTTGGACAGGAGAGTAGGACTTATTGGTGGGCGTGAGTAAGGAGGGGACGGTGCCAAGGCTCTCCTGAGTGCAGGGTCCGCCGCTTGCCCCAGAGGGCCAGGATTACGGATGTATTTGACCTCACAGCCATCTGGGATGAGCTGCTTTTCCGCCACCTTGTTTTCAAATTCATCTGCATTAAACTTAGTAAATGCCCACTTCTTGGAGATGTGGCTCTTCTGGTGGCCAGGGAACTTGAACTTGGCCCTGTGGAGGGCCTTAATCACATGCTCCTTGTTCTGCAGCCTGGTGCGGATGGACCTTATGACTTGGCCAGCGTGGACCCTGGCCACTGTGCCCTGGGGCTTTTCAAAGGCACCGCACATACCTGTCTGGAGCCTAGATTGGGCACAACATGCCAGTCATGAATGTCCACTGGAAAGGGCTGTCTGCAAGGTCCCTTAAGGCAACCAGTACAGGCAGCAGGCTGCATACAGTACCGAGGAGTCTGTAGCCGTGGTTCCTGACATGCACGGTTCCCACAGAGTTTCTTGCTCTCTGCGAGCCTCTTTTTTTTTTTTTGGCCACGCTGCAAGGCTTGTGGGATCTTTAAAGGCTCCCCGACCAGGGATTGAACCTGGGCCACGGCAGTGGAAAAACGCTGAGTCCTAACCACTGGACCGCCAGGGAATTCCCACTTGTGAGCCATTTTTGTGGTTTGGGCATCACGTTTCTCTTCTTGAGTAGCCCAGGTTATTGTTCTTTCAGCTTCCTCTGTTTCTTAGCTTCCCTTCAGTTTGGAGCACAGGGTAGTATCTTGGAAAGTTCTAGAATGAATATTGCAGTCTGTGAAACTTGCATTTTCATAGCTCTGTGGCACATGAATGGAGATGTGGAGACTCTTGCACCTGAAGCCAAGCACTGCCTTCCGTCCGTGAGAAGCAACGTGTTTATGTTCGTTAACGCTTCGTTAATACTCTTCAGGGCCTCATCTTGAGATGTTAGGCTTTTTGAATGTGATGTTTATTAATGAAGGATAATTGAGAAGAAAATGGATTTGCATGATTGAATTTCTTGACTCGCTTTTGCTATGCTTTTCTCTTCCCACTTACCTTATGCCTTCTCTTTAGGTCAAAATGCAACTGCATTGGGGACCGGAAGTTACTATGGCCATAGTCCAGGATATTACGGTCAGCATATTGCCTCTAATCCCAAACCAACAAGCAAGTTTTTTCAATGCAAGTTCTGCGTACGCTACTTCAGGTCAAAAAACCTCCTCATTGAACACACTAGGAAGGTCCACGGAGCTCAAGCTGAAGGGAGTTCGGCGGGACCTCCTGTTCCAGGATCCTTAAATTATAATATCATGATGCACGAGGGATTCGGAAAGGTCTTCTCTTGCCAGTTTTGCACATACAAGTCACCAAGGAGGGCAAGAATAATTAAGCATCAGAAGATGTATCACAAAAACAATTTGAAGGAGACCACTGCTCCTCCCCCTGCCCCTGCTCCGATGCCAGACCCAGTGGTCCCACCCGTGTCCCTGCAGGACCCCTGCAAGGAGCTGCCGGCGGAGGTCGTGGAGCGCAGCATCCTAGAATCTATGGTCAAGCCTCTGACCAAGTCTCGAGGCAACTTTTGCTGTGAGTGGTGCAGCTATCAGACCCCCCGCCGGGAACGCTGGTGTGACCACATGATGAAGAAACACCGCAGCATGGTCAAGATCCTGTCCAGTCTCAGGCAGCAGCAAGAAGGGACTAATCTGCCTGATGTGCAGAACAAGAACGCTCCCAGCCCCACTTCTAACTCCACCTATCTGTCTGTGAATGCTGCCAGCCGGGAGCTACCCAACACTAACGTCTCCACCTTCAGGGGCTCCATCGGCAACTCCATCATGAGACCCAATTCTTCTTCCGCTTCCAAGTTTTCGCCCATGTCTTACCCTCAGATGAAGCCGAAGTCACCTCACAATTCTGGCCTCGTCAGCTTGGCGGAGAGATCCCGTTACGGAATGACTGACATGACCAATTCTTCTGCCGACCTGGAAACTAACAGCATGCTGAATGACTCTAGTTCCGACGAAGAGTTAAATGAAATAGACAGTGAGAATGGCTTAACTGCTCTGGATCATCAGACAGCAGGCATGTCCGCGGAGCAGCTGATGGGCTCAGAGGGCAACAAATTATTGGAGACCAAGGGGATCCCATTTAGAAGATTCATGAACAGGTTCCAGTGCCCCTTTTGTCCGTTCCTCACCATGCATCGACGTAGCATCTCCCGTCACATAGAAAACATCCACTTATCCGGAAAGACAGCCGTCTACAAATGTGATGAATGTCCATTTACTTGCAAGAGCTCGTTAAAACTTGGGGCTCACAAACAGTGTCACACGGGTACAACGTCAGACTGGGATGCTGTGAATTCCCAGAGTGAAAGCATCGCTTCTCCGCTGCACGAAGGTGTCGTGTCTTACGAGAGCTCGAGCATCAATGGGAGAAAGTCGGGGGTCGTGCTGGAGCCCCTGCAGCAGCAACAGCCGCCCCCGCCGCCCGCGCCTCCGTCACAGCCTCAGCCGCCGCAGCTGCAGCCGCCCCATCAGGTGCCGCCCCCGCCCCCGCCGCCCGCGCAGGCCCCGCCCCTGCACCCCTACAAGTGCACCATGTGTAATTACTCCACCACGACTCTGAAAGGGCTGAGGGTGCATCAGCAGCACAAACACTCCTTCTGCGACAACTTGCCAAAATTCGAGGGGCAGCCCTCCAGCCTGCCAGCGGACGGCGAGACAGACAGCCACCCCTCTTCCAGCAACACTGTGAAGAAAAGTCAGACCTCAATTCTTGGGCTGTCCTCCAAGAACAATTTTGTAGCTAAGGCCTCTAGGAAACTCGCTAATGACTTTCCTCTCGACTTATCGCCCGTGAAGAAGAGGACCCGGATTGACGAGATCGCAAGCAACCTGCAGAGCAGAATTAACCAAACCAAACAGCAGGAAGATGCGGTGATCAACGTGGAGGATGACGAGGAGGAGGAGGAAGACAACGAGGTGGAGATCGAGGTGGAGCTGGACCGGGAAGAAGAGCCACCGGAGCCCGTCCTGGAGGTGCCCACGTCCTTCTCAGCGCAGCAGATCTGGGCGAGAGATGCCCCTGAGCCCCAGAAGGAGCCCAGCTTCAGAACTGTCACCCACGATTACAATGCCACCAACGGGGCTGAGATAGAGCTCACCCTTTCTGAAGATGAAGAGGATTATTATGGCTCCTCCACGAACATGAAAGATCACCAGGTTTCCAGCGCTGCTCTGCTCAACACCCAGACTCCTATCTACGGAACTGAGCACGGTAATGAAAATGCGGACTTTAGCGACTCGGGAAGGCTTTATTATTGCAAACACTGTGACTTTAACAACAAATCTGCCCGGAGCGTCAGCACCCACTACCAGCGCATGCACCCGTACATTAAATTCAGCTTCAGGTACATCTTGGACCCCAACGATCACAGCGCAGTGTACAGGTGCCTGGAATGCTACATCGATTACACCAACTTCGAAGACCTGCAGCAGCATTACGGCGAACACCACCCGGAAGCCATGAACGTCCTCAACTTCGACCACTCGGACCTGATCTACCGGTGTCGGTTTTGTTCCTACACGAGCCCCAACGTCCGAAGCCTGATGCCGCACTACCAGAGAATGCACCCCACCGTCAAGATTAACAATGCGATGATATTTTCGAGCTACGTGGTGGAGCAGCAGGAGGGGCCGAACACGGAGTCCCAGACGCTGAGGGAGATCCTGAATTCGGCTCCCAAGAACATGGCCGCGTCCGCTGCCGTGGCCCGTGGCGGCGGGGTGCCAGCTCCGTTCCCTAAGAACACCCCTTCCAAGACCTTTCCTCCAGAATGTGAAAATCAGAAGGACCCCTCGGTCAGCACCGTCGTCGTGTACGATTGTGACGTTTGCTCCTTCGCGAGCCCCAACATGCACTCTGTGTTGGTTCATTATCAGAAGAAACACCCGGAAGAAAAGGCCTCCTACTTTAGGATCCAGAAAACCATGCGAATGGTGTCTGTGGACAGGGGCTCTGCCCTTTCTCGGTTGTCATTTGAGGTGGGTGCTCCAGTGTCTCCCAAAATATCCGCCATGGGTTCCCCACCCCCCCCACCGCCCCCGCCACCAGACCTCGGTACCGAGCTTTACTACTGCAAACACTGCTCCTACAGCAATCGGTCAGTTGTGGGAGTCCTTGTCCACTACCAGAAAAGACACCCAGAGATAAAGGTTACCGCCAAATATATCAGACAGGCTCCTCCCACAGCCGCAATGACGCGAGGGGCCGATGGGCCCCAAGGCTCCCCCCGGGCACCGGCCCCCAGGCAGCAGCTCAGCCGGAGCGGCTCCGAGAGAGACGGCCCTCCCGCGGAGAGTGAGATGTTCTTCTGCCAGCACTGTGATTACGGGAACCGCACGGTCAAAGGTGTCCTCATCCATTATCAGAAGAAGCACCGAGACTTCAAGGCCAACGCGGACGTGATCCGGCAGCACACGGCCACCATCCGAAGCCTCTGCGACCGTAACCAGAAAAAGCCTGCCGGTTGCGTGCTGGTCCCCCCCTCGAACGTGGAGCGGGACAGAACGAAACTCCGGGCGCTCAAGTGTCGTCAGTGCTCGTACACCTCCCCCTACTTTTACGCACTGAGGAAGCATATCAAGAAAGACCACCCTGCCCTGAAGGCCACGGTCACGTCCATCATGCGGTGGGCATTTCTAGATGGCTTGATAGAAGCTGGCTACCACTGCGAGTGGTGCATCTATTCCCACACAGATCCCAACGGTTTGCTCCTCCATTACCAGAGGAGGCATCCCGAGCATTACGTTGATTATACGTACATGGCCACCAAGCTCTGGGCTGGGCCAGACCCATCCCCTCCCTCTCTCACGATGCCAGCTGAAGCCAAAACGTACAGATGCCGAGACTGTGTTTTTGAGGCCGTCTCCATCTGGGACATCACCAATCACTACCAAGCGTTCCACCCCTGGGCCATGAATGGGGACGAGTCCGTGCTGCTGGATATCATCAAGGAGAAAGATGCTGTCGAGAATCCCATCCCTGCGCCCGAAGAGCTCGTGGGCCCCGTGAATTGTGAAAACAGTATGCCTGCGCCACTGCCCGAGCAGGAAGCTGACTGCCCCGAGGACGCCAGGCTTTCCCCAGAGAAGAGCCTCCAGCTAGCGTCAGCCAACCCCGCCATCTCCTCCACCCCGTACCAGTGCACCGTGTGCCAGTCTGAGTATAACAACCTGCACGGCCTTCTGACACATTACGGGAAGAAGCACCCAGGCATGAAAGTGAAGGCTGCTGACTTTGCCCAGGATATCGACATCAACCCGGGCGCTGTCTACAAATGCAGGCATTGCCCCTACATCAACACCCGCATCCACGGCGTCCTGACCCACTACCAGAAGCGACACCCGTCCATCAAGGTGACTGCCGAGGACTTCGTGCACGACGTGGAGCAGTCCGCCGACATAGCCCAGAACGACGTGGAGGAGACGAGCAGGATCTTCAAGCAAGGGTACGGCGCCTACCGCTGCAAACTGTGTCCCTACACGCACGGCACTTTGGAGAAGCTCAAAATCCACTACGAGAAGTATCACAACCAGCCTGAGTTCGATGTCTTTTCCCAGTCTCCCCCGAAGCTGCCCGTGACCCTCGAGCCCGAGATAACCACTGAAGTGAGCCCCTCCCAAGTCTCCGTGACCGAGGACGAGGTGGGAGAGGAGCCCGTGTCCACGTCTCACTTCGCTACCTCGCACCTGGTGTCCCACACTGTGTTCCGGTGCCAGCTCTGCAAGTACTTCTGCTCCACGCGGAAGGGCATAGCCCGGCACTACCGCATCAAGCACAACAACGTACGCGCCCAGCCTGAGGGCAAGAACAACCTCTTCAAGTGCGCCCTGTGTGCCTACACCAACCCCATCCGCAAAGGGCTGGCTGCCCACTACCAGAAGCGCCACGACATCGACGCCTACTACACCCACTGCCTGGCGGCCTCCAGGACCATCAGCGACAAGCCCAACAAGGTGATCATCCCGTCGCCGCCCAAGGACGACTCCCCGCAGCTCAGCGAGGAGCTCCGGCGCGCCGTGGAGAAGAAGAAGTGCTCCCTGTGCCCCTTCCAGTCCTTCAGCAAGAAGGGCATCGTGTCCCACTACATGAAGCGTCACCCGGGGGTGTTCCCCAAGAAGCAGCACGCCAGCAAGTTGGGGGGCTACTTCACCGCCGTCTACGCCGACGAGCACGAGAAGCCGGTGCTGATGGAAGAGGAGGAGAGAGGCGGCTTCGAGAAAGCCGAGGTGGAGGGGAGCGAAGGGCAGGAAATCGAGTGGCTCCCGTTCCGCTGCATCAAGTGCTTCAAGCTGTCCTTCAGCACGGCGGAGCTGCTGTGCATGCATTACACGGACCACCACAGCCGGGACCTCAAGAGGGACTTCGTCATCCTGGGCGGCGGCCCCCGCCCGCAGAGCTCCGCCTACCAGTGCAAGCACTGCGATAGCAAACTGCAAAGCACGGCGGAGCTGACCTCACACTTGAGCATTCACAATGAGGAATTCCAGAAGCGTGCCAAACGTCAGGAGAGGAGGAAACAGCTTTTGAGCAAGCAGAAATATGCAGATGGTGCTTTTGCAGATTTCAAACAAGAGAGGGTAAGGATATGTTTTGCTTTCCCTTCCCCCAGGAGGCCTCTCATCACTGGTGCCCACATGCACGTCTTCGCTGCCAGCCAAACCGCTACGGGCTTCCTAGTGACTTAGCCTGCCAGAGAGCTCAATAAGTCAATTAAACATTTCGAGCTTGATTATCCCCCACCCCCGCGTTCTACGCTCACCCTTCTCCCCGGCCCCCTCCCTCTCGCCCCTCCCAAGGTTCCCCAGGGGAGGGTCGGGTGGCTTTTCTGTATTTCTCTCTGCCAAGTAGCCTTATCCGAGGCCTAGTTACAGGACAACGCTCGCTCTCTTTCCCAGGGCAGTTGCGGGCCGTCTCTTGGTATCGTTAGCGCTTCTCAGCCATGTCATGGTTTGCAGTGTCGGCTACAGGAACCTAACGTCTCCAGGAGTAGAGGTTTTTTTTTTTTCCTTCTTTTTTTTTTTTCTTTTTTGGTCAAGAAGTTCGCTAATGGCGTAGCTATGCGACGTTTCACCTGTGTAGTTGAAAAATTGGTTTGAAAACCAGATAACTTGGTGGCAGTGACCATGAGACTTCAGCACCGAGATCTTCTCTCCTCACAAGTCATAACCTGTTTGGGTTCTGGAGACTTCTCCCGCGCGCGCGCAGTGGGCAGCGCGCCTCGCCCCTGACGAATCTGTTGTGTAAAACTGCTCGCCGTGTTAGCTCCCTTGGTTTTTAACCTGCTAATCTGCTTTAACGTAAAATCTGCTAGTAAGCTGCAAGAATAAATGCCGGCGTTGAGGGAGGGCTCGGAGTACTGATGGCTACCACTGTATTTTACCAGCCTTTTGGTCACTTAGAAGAGGTGCCAAAGATCAAGGAGAGGAAGGTGGTGGGCTACAAATGTAAATTCTGTGTGGAAGTGCATCCGACGCTCCGGGCCATCTGCAACCACCTGCGCAAGCACGTCCAGTACGGCAGTGTCCCGGCCGTGTCAGCCGCCGTGAAGGTGAGCACTGGGAAGGTCTGGATGAGGAGTCTTGTGTGTGAGCCCTTCGAGTTCCTAATTCACGCCGTTGCTCAGAGCCGCTCAGGAAAGGGCGACCCCACGTGTGGGCGTTCCTGAGTTATGCTGGGATCGGTCTGGCTTGTTTTGATTTCTTTACAGGTTGGATCCTCCTCATCTTCCGTGTTTCGACCCGGTTGCGTTTCGATCTGGTTCCCTTCCACGCGGATAGTCTGGTGGAAACAGAAGATCCGGGCCTCTCGGTACAGGAGGCCTTGGGTCTCCCTTCTATGCTGCGTTTAGTGCCGTTAGGTGTTCGCTTTTGCAAGCGGCCCGGGCTCTTGAGAGGAGTCCAGTGGGTTCTGTTCCCATCCTCTTCTGCGCCTCCCACTGCCTGACTTCTTGCTGTTCTCATCTGGCGACGGTGCAGAGAGCCCGGGAGAATCTGTCTTTTACTTCTTATCCTGGGTCCCCGGAGGAGCGTTCAGAAACGTTAAATCTAAAACTGAAACCCTTCAGGTCACAGTTGGCCCTGTGAGCCCTTTGACCTGATTTGTCTCCTCCATCCCCTCTCCCTCTGTGTTGCTGGCGAGCACCTTCTCTCTGCCCCCGACCAGTATTAGGCCACCTGGTTGGAAGATCATAACCCTAAAATGAGCCACTGTTTCAGTGACCAAGCTGCCATCCCTGCCTTCCAGGGTATTGCTAACCACTTAGTGTTGAGCAGAGAAGTCAGTTCAGGGCTCTGCTCTCTCTCTCTCTGGATACGTGAATGCATTTCTGTCATCGGCCCTTCTTGCTCTTGAGTCCTGTTTTGCCAATGTGGCATATGGAGGCGAAGCTTCCGCTCTTCCCATTGAAGACTGAAGCCTTGTGGCTGGCGGCACAGCAGTGAGTGGCACGGGGACAGCATCAGTCAGCTTCTTGCCCGCCACCAGGGTGTGTCCCAGCCTTGCGTCCCGTAATTGCTCAAGGGAGACAGCGGCTCTTCCTGTGTAATCGGTAATCCGAAGGAGCCCCCCCAAACCAGGCTAGGCTGCTTCTTAATTTTTTGAATTGATTGTACAGCAACCTTCGGCCAAGGGGTGATGTCACCGCCTGTGAGATGGGGGTGACCGTGGTGGCAGAGAGCTGGATCTTCCAGTTTCCTTCATTTCCCGAGGGTGTTCCAAGGCTCCCAAGTGCCCATACCGCACCATTCTCCTTTTTCCCCTTCCTTCCTCTCTTCCTTTCTCTGAGCCATAACCCTAACCTGCGTTATATCAGTTTCGGTAGGATCCCAATTTGAATTTTCTCTTTAAGATAGAAGGTAAGTGAGTGAACTGTCTTCAAAGTGGGAGAGCCGCTCCCTCACCTTTCCCAGACAGTAGCAACCTGTGTCCAGATATGTTGCCCTCACATCACCACCACTGCATGAAGGATGGCAGTTGGGTTTGCCCTCCCTCTAGGGGGAGCTGGAGAGGCAGGGGAGGAAGCCTGAACAGGAAATGCTTAACAGGAGTTTGGGAGAATGAAGGGAGAGGAGGAGAGCTGGGAGCAATGATGATGGATATTTATTTTGTTGGTGGGGCATGTGTGTGTGTGTGGTTCTCTTAGCAGGAGGCTGAAGACCCTTCCCACTTGTTCCTGGATGGACTGGAAGCAGCCAAAGATGCCAGTGGCGCCCTGGCGGACCGGGTGGATGGTGAACACTGCTTGCTTGATGGAATGTTGGAGGATGAAACCCGGCCGGGGGGATACCATTGTAGTCAATGTGACAGAGTCCTGATGTCCATGCAGGGGCTGCGTTCTCATGAGAGGAGCCATCTGGCCCTGGCCATGTTTACCCGCGAGGACAAGTACAGCTGCCAGTATTGCTCCTTTGTTTCTGCTTTCAGGCACAAGTAAGTGTTCACTGAGTGGGTGCAAGTGGTAACTGGAGGAGGTGGAAGGCGGGAGCGCTTGGAGGCGTCTGAAGGCCCCGCTCATGGTTCAGGCCTGCCGTTCAGTTGGCTGTGTTACCTTGAACCTCTGTCACCCCACCTGTCAAATGGGGCTGAGAACAGGAGATTGTTTGCCTGACATCAGATTTGGCGAAATCGGGCATTTAGAAAAAAAATTGAAGTATAGTTAATTTACAAGGTTGTGTTAATTTTAAGCGTACGGCATAATTTTAAGCGTACGGCAGAGTGATTCAGTTATACACACACACACACACACACACACACACACACACACACACACACAAACAAACACAATACATATACGCATTCTTTTTCAGACTCTTTTCCGTTACAGGTTATTACAAAATATCGAGTATAGTTCCCTGTGCTATACAGTAGGTCCTTGTTGGTTACCTATTTTATATAAAGTCGTGCAGCGGTCCCCAACCTTTTTGGCACCAGGGACCAGTTTCTTGGAAGACGGTTTTTTCCACGGGGCGGGGGGGTCAGTTCAGACGGTAATGTGAGCGATGGGGAGCGGCGGATAAAGCTTGCTTCACTCGCTCCCCCGCCGCTCACTTTCTGCTGTGCGGCCTGCTTGGGGGACCCCTGAAGTAGTGTGTATCTGTTAATCCCAAACTCCTAATTTGGTCTCCCTGGCCCCCACTATCCCCTTTGGTCACCGTAAGTTTGTTTTCTATGTCTGTAAGTCTATTTCTGTTTTGTAAATAAGTGTATCTGTATCATTTTTTTTAGATTCCACATGCAAGTGATATCATATGGTGTTTGTCTTTCTGTGTCTGACTTACTTCACTAAGTATGATCATCTCTAGTTGCATCCCTGTTGCAGCAAATGACATTATTTCATTCTTTTTCATGACCTAGTGGTATTCCATTGTGTATATGTGCCACATCTTCTTCATCCATTCATCTGTTGATGCAATTTAGGTTGCTTCCATGTCCTGGCTATTGTAAATAGTGCTGCTATGAACATTGGGATGCATGTATCTCTTTGAATTAGAGTTTTCTAAATTGGGCATTTTCTTAAATGATAATTTTGGAGGTGTTGCTCTGATTTACACAAGGCAAGACCAGAGAGTAGATGAGTTTACTGGTGCATCTGTCGAACATTCATCCAGAACCTAGTCATCATTTGAGTAAGTAAAGTTCCATTTGGGAAATTTTAAGCAGCTAAGGAGGTAAAATTAGGACTTTTTAACCCATATGACCAAAGGGTCATTGCTTGGCATTTTTAAAAAGACCTGGAATGGTAAAGAAGTTTATCGATGCCAGAGAGATGCTTGAGGCGCAGGGTGGGTTGAGGAGACGGAGCTTCCTGCTACCCGGCACAGCTCTGAAATTGAAAATTTGGGTTTTTGTGTGAGGCTTTTCGGGGCGATAGGAAGAGGGATGGTTCTGAGAAGAAACAACCTTTTGTTGCCTTTCTCTCGCAACTGTATGAGAGAGAAATTTTTCGATAACGTGTTCTACAGTCTTGGATGAAGGTGACTGATGGTGAGACTGACACGCTGTTTATTTTTATCATAATTGAAAATAAGTGATGGGCTGTTTGCTTCTTAAAAAAGATAAAGTGCTAGTTAGTGTCTGTTGAAAGGCAGGAAGAGGTGATGCTTCCACAGAGGTTAGGATGGGTTGCAAACTCTTTTATGATTATACAGAGCCTAGTGTCCAATCTTTGTCATCAGATTCATGCCCTGGCCTCCAACTTGTGTAGTTCTCGTCCGTTCGATGAGTATTTGTCGGACAGCAGCTCGCAACGTTTTCTGACACACACAACCTCAATAAATCGTTGTGAATAAATGAATATGCCCTGTTGTTGAGGCTTTGGGGGAATATAAACATGAATAGGACGTGGTCGGTGATCTCGGGGAACTTAGGGTCTAGTCGGGTTGTAAGTAAAGCAAACACGCAAATGACTTGGCAAAACAAGGCGCATGTCTTTAAAAAAAAAATGTATCGATAAAATGCAGTGAAGTTTCAAAGAAGGGAGGTGGTACATCTACTTTGGAAGAATCGGGAAGGTTTTATGGAACAGGGAGCACTGGAGCCAAGTCTTAAAGTAGGAAGACAGGACCTGCCAAGTTTGGAAGGAACATGCAATGTGGAGGAAACGATGAGAGAGTAGGGCCCTGAGGAAGAGATCGATGCTTAGGAGGGACCAGTTGGCGGTCCAGTTGGACTAATTTTTAAGTGATATGTAAAGGAATAGTAGAAGGTAAAGTCTGAATACCTGAGTGGAGACTGCATTTGGGGGGTCTTTGAATGCAGAATTAGTGCTTTGTAATATACATTACTGGTAAAAGGAAGACTCTGAAACGAGTAAAGGCATCTTAATCACTAACATTTTTGAGCCTCACTGTGTGCCAGGCACTGTGCTACGTGCCTTCAAGTATTATTTTATTCTCAGAACAGCCCTGTGAGATATGGTCCCATTATCATCTCCCTTTCCTGGATAAGGGAAGTGAGGCCTTTTGATGTAGAGGGGTTATGGAACTTGCCCAAGGCCACTCGACTTATGAGTAATAGCTAGCATTTGATCTCAGGCAGTCTGACTCCATCGCTTGTGCTTCTGAGTTGGGAAAAAGATGGGGGAGACCAATTAGGAGGCAGTGATAGTAGCTGATCCACGAAGTTAGAATGGAACTTTGGGAACAGTTGAGGGAAGGAGGATCTTCATGTCTTGGGAAAATTGGCTTACTGGAGGGGAAGAGGGACAGAGTACAGTACAAATGGCACGGAGGTTTCCAGGCCGGTTGACTGACAGCTTGGAAGTGTTCTTTCTACAAAGAAGGGAATGAGGAAGAGAATTTGTTTGGGATTTAAAAAAACTGACGTGTTTGTTTCAGGCTGGTTGAGTTTAAGATAGCTGAAGGACATTCAGCGGGAGGTGTCCTTAGGCAGTGTGGAAAGGGCTGCTTTGGGGCTTGGGAGAACATTATATATTTAAATGGTAAGCAGTACTGTTCCCATATGAGTTATTTAGAATGGAATCTAGTTCTCCGGGGCATTGATACAAATTAAATTAGAACATCTTCCCACACCTCGTTGGGTAGATTTAGTATTTTTTTAGAGTAGTAATTATTATGAAATACTGGGAAATTATAATTAAATCATTTCTTTATAAGTTGCTTCTGGAATAGGATGTACAGCAAACATGGTTTTATCAGAAGGCATGGCCAGCCTTTGGATCACATGATTTCCTGTAAACACACCTGCAGTGGACCTCCATATTTAGAAAGACCTTGAAAATAGCCCATTGCAAGTGCCCTGCTCAAGTGTTCACAGCGGAATTAAGGTTTAAGAAGGAAGTCAGCCTTTTTTACATGCAAAATTTCTCTTAATTCCCTTTTTTTTTTTTTATGGTATGAGTTCAAGGACTCTTTGATAGGCATCAGAAAACTTAAATTTGTCCATATTTTACCTTTTCCTTTTAGATGCCCTCTTCTACTTCACAGTGCTTTAGAGAAGGGAAAATAAGTCTACCAAGACCTGTTTCCATTGCCATGTCTCTCAAGCCAAAAAAAATTTTGATCTCTTCTTTCCTTTAGCTTCTCCAACTCTTGCCAGTTTGCGTTTGTTTGCTTTTTCCCTCCTGTAAGCACCATCCTTGGAAAGTAACAAAATGACTTTGAACAGCGTAGAAATGGGATTTCTGGAAAATGGCAATGAGAAAATGTTGGATGCAATTTTTAATATTGTCATTTCCTTTTCTCTTCTTCTGCATCAAGTTTGGATCGCCATATGCAAACCCACCACGGACACCATAAACCATTCCGATGCAAGCTCTGCTCCTTCAAGTCCTCCTACAACAGCCGGCTGAAGACACACATCCTCAAAGCTCATGCTGGTGAGTTGGTGTTCGCGGTGCACTAGTTCCCGGAGTTTGAAATTTAATAGTCTTCAGTGAGTGAAATTTTTAAGTCTCTTGCTCCATACACATGAGAATAAGGTCCTCTTGAGATGGTTGTGTATTCAGTTTTATTTTGATCTAATTAAAAAAATAAAAGAATGGCCCAAAGGCAAAATAATACCAAGTACCATGTCACGCATGTCATAGTTGATTGGTGCAGCTAACACATACCTACTGACAGATTCTTGCTACTCACAGGTTCTGTTTTCTAGAGAAATTTCTAAATTACCTGGACTTTCTAATGGAAATGCAAGAATTGGTACATCTCCTGAAGATAATTTCCAACTAAAATAAAGTGATAGTCTTGGGGACGTTCAAAGGGACACAGAGACCTCAGGATGTGTGAGATTTCTCATGAGATGCCCTTAGATGCATTTCCACATTGCAGATAAGAAATGACCTTGGGTCATGAGTGTCCAGGAGTTGTGCTGATCTCCATCACTCTATCATCCCATCTCATCGTGCTCGTCTCATGAACATCCCTTACGTACCAGTCTCTGTACTAATAAGCCTGGTATATTCATCATCTCATTTAATCTTCAAGGCAGTCCCAAAGGGTAGATGTTGTCACCCTCAGTGTCGGATGAAGCCACAGAGACTCAAAACCCAGTGTCCTGCTCAAGGCCACAGAGCCCATTCACTAAGAATTTGACTCCAGAACAAAAGCCTACATCCTTGTCACTCACAGGATGCTGCCTCCCTCTCTCTTCTTCTCTTTTCTACTTGGCATGTGCTGGAGGATGCCCACAGGTGGCTAATCAGAACTCATCGAAGAGAGGAAAGAGGCATGAGTAAGAAAGGCAGTGTGGCAGGGTCTGGGCGGCCTCCTCCCAGGATGTCCCCAGTCCTCTGAGGAGCCCGACTCCGCAGCAGCCTGTGGCCCTCTCAGAGGTGTTGTCAGCCTTTGAGGAACTTACAACAAACAAAGGAAAATTGGGAAACCAATAGCTTTAGAATAGCTAGCGATACTGTCAGAGATTCTTCTAGAGATCCAGTCTCCCTGCTGAGTTTCCTCAGCTAAGGTGTTTAGAATTCTAGTTGAATTCTAGTTTAAAATTTTTCAATCAACTAGAATTCTTCTGTCTCATTTATTTGCTTCCCTTCCCTTGTTAGCTTCCCTTCCCTTATTAGCTTCTTATTAACTGCCCAGAACCCGAGTCCTTCACTTTTGTCATGTCCTCATCCCCTGTGGAAATACAGCCATGTCTCTGCTGTTTCCTGAAGGTTGGGTCCCGTTGAACTGGCTTAATGGAGTAAAACTACGGAAGCCTTCAGGATGCCTTAAGCCCACTGCGGGTGGGGGCGGGGATGGCAGATTAGCTATATGGGCTCTTCTCTATCTGTTAGTATTTTTATATCTTCCAGAACATTTTACTAAAGTCCATGGAGTAAGAGGCTTCGGGGTTCAAACCACTCTTTTCTAACTGGTGTATATTGTGAATTATTCACTCGGGACACTGTCCTGGGGAGTTTTCCCCATAGATCTCAGCCTTGTCAAAAACACTTTACCAGTGGGAGTTGGGTAAGTGATTTGGCCTGTGGGAAAGACTTTAAAAAAGTGCCACAGGCTACACACGGACTCCAGGGCATTGAGCTGAAGTGTATATTCTTGGAGCTGACCAAGCAGACTGGTCTTCTGTGCTCGCTGGTTTGCAGGAAGGAAGCATCCAGAGAGAGAGGGTGGGAGCATCGTAATCCAGTTCTCCACACACCTTGAACCGTTGGTGTCTATGACTTGGTCTTAGCTACAGAGAGTGGCTTGGCTTGGAGAAAGCCAAATCATTTTCCAGAAGACTCTTGACTCGTCTGTTCTAGATGGAGTATTTTATTTTATTTTATAGGATAAAAGGTAGTGTGTACTAACCAGATACCTGGATTTGAATTCTCTCTCAGGTTATGCTACTTATAACCACCCACCAAGGTTCATATAGCCAGGTTTGCACTGAAAAACTGAGAAATGGAATAAGGAGAGCAGTAGTGTACGATATGACATATATTTATTATTTCAGTAAACACCATTATTCATACCCAGCATTATCCTGTAGCTAACAGGTCATGGTCTGAGGGGTGTGGAATTGACTGGTGTTCTCGTTTGGGTCCTCTGACTTCTTTGTGCTTCTCTTCTGCTTTGGGCTATAGTATGTTGCCTCATTCAAGGTTTTGTGTGGGTCTCTTCAAGGCTTTCTTGGAAATGCACACTTTGGGGGTCATCAGTGGTGAAAAGGAGGCTTGAATGCGGGACTTCAGATGCTGGTCTCACTTCACATGAAACCACTTAGTAATTTTCGGGGTGGCAGGAAAGTAACCATCTCAGCAGGGTAAAAGCAAGAGTGGAGGTTTAGGGCTTCCCTGGTGGCGCAGTGGTTGGGAGTCCGCCTGCCGATGCAGGGGACGCGGGTTTGTGCCCCGGTCCGGGAAGATCCCACATGCAAAAAAAAAAAAAAGAGTGGAGGTTTACTAGCTCATTCTTGCTCTGCTTTAGTGAGCATGTGTCTATAGCACATCAGCGCTGTCCTCAGTTCATATTCACTGGTCCACAAAACCTTCGTTACTAACAATCCTTTCTTCTCTTATTCCTCTCCTTCCTTTCCCTCTTCTCTGGTTTTTAAGTTTCACTTGAAAATAAATTTTAAAAATACATGTTCATTAGAAAAAAATTGAAAATGAAAGAAGAAATACAGTCAAGCCATTCATAATCTTATTATCTGAAGACCACTGTTGTTAATATTTGATAATATTTCCTTTCAACCATTTCCTCTATAATTATTTTCCATAGTCATGATTATAATTTAATCTAAAATGTATTATGCTTTTCTGTTTATTTTTCTGAGTTTCAGTATTTTAGTTTTCTATGAATTGCCAACTCTTCGAGAATTTATTTTCATGAATAGTAACTTATCAAGAAGATACGCCCACATTTACTTACTCACTTCCCAGTGGTTGGAAATTTAGGTTGTTTGGCCCCTTTTTCAAGCATAAATAATGTATATTTCTAAACAGAGATTTCTAAGTATTCAAGGGTATTTCCTTAATATAAATTCTCAGAAGTGGAATTATTGAGTTACAGGCATGAACTTTCTAAGCTTATTGTTATAAAAAGCAAAATTGCTTTCCGAGTTGATCGTACCAGTGTTTGTCTGTCCAGCGACATAAGGATGCCCGTTTCACACCCTTCTTAAATTGCAATTCATGTAAAAGCTGACTTAGGGCAAAGATAAATCATACTCTCATTTAACTTGATCATAGTGATCTGTGCTGTATTTCAGTGGTATGAAAACAATTAAAAGGAAAATACTTTGTAGAAAACAAACTTGTGGTTACCAAGGGGGCGGGAGGGGGAGGGAGGGATAAATCGGGAGATTGGGATTGAAATATACACACTACTATGTATAAAATAGACAACTAATAAGAACCTACTGTATAGGTATTGTACAGGGAACTCTACTCGCTACTTGGTGATGGCCTATATGGGGAAAGCATCTAAAAGAGAGTGCATACATGTATATGTTTAACTGACTCACTTTGCTGTACAGCAGGAACTAACACAACAGTGTAAATCAACTATACTCCAATAAAAATTAACGAAAGAAAAATACTTATTTTTACTTACATGTCCTTTTTATTGAAAAATATTGGAGCTAAATGCAGACACACGTTTATATATGTAAACACACCTCTCTCAGTTAAAGAAATGACTTTCACCCATTTCTGTGCTATTGATCAGATAGGGAAATGGAGTTTTGTGCTGAGGTTCGTGAACTGGTCCCAAAAAACCCCACAAGTAGGATGTGTGGAATCCAGGAGGCCTAGAGTCAGCAAGGAAGTAAATTATGAGGATAGCACAGCAGTTTGCACTGAGTGACTTCGTGCTCGGAAAGCCACCGATCGACCCTTGGAATAAGGATGGAGTGTATTATTTTCTGTGGATGATACAAAGGCTGGAATGAAAACTGACATCGTCCTTTCTAGTACAGAGAGGGAGGGAGACAGACGGGAAGCCTTTGCCGAGGGAGCTGCCTAGACATTTGGTTTCACTCTCTGCTGGGGAATCTACCGTAGGCTCATCCCTGTACACAAAGCATGAGATGGCAAGGGACCAGGTCACTCGATGACGGAGCTCCTAAAAGAGTTCCGATCCTCCAGGAGCCCTGTGGTCATGGCAGTGGGCAGGGGGTTGGTCTGGGAGGGTCCTCAGACCGTGCAGCTTGAGACGGGCTCTCTGGAGTCACTGACCCTGTTGTTCTGTCTCCCACCCGCCTCGTCCCCTGTCCCCTCCCTCTCCCCTGCCGCCGACCGTCTCCCTCCAGGTGAGCACGCCTACAAGTGTTCTTGGTGCGCCTTTTCCACCATGACCATCAGCCAGCTGAAGGAACACTCCCTCAAGGTCCACGGAAAAGCCCTGACCCTCCCCAGGCCGAGGATTGTCAGTCTCCTCTCCTCGCACGCCCACCACTCCTCCTCCCAGAAAGCCACCCCGGCCGAAGAAGTGGAAGATTCCAATGGTAAAACCGGGCTTCCGAGCCGCCATCAGTCATGGGTGGGGGGAGGTGGGCTGGGGTTAACGGCCCATCCTTCTTTCTAGAGGAAAATCTGACACGAAAACGTGGCGGTTCAAGTGAAGGAAGAAACGGGAAAAGGTTGGAACAGTATAGACATTGGAGTTGGAGGGTGAAGTGAACTCGGTGAGCATCTGTTCGGTGCTGAGGCCAGACGCCCCTGCACTGGTGTGCCCGCTGCTTGTGAAAAGAGCACGTGTGTGATGGGTTCGTGTTGGATCCTTCCGCCGTGGTTGTGAGCAAGGAGGAGGATGAATACCAGGCAGATTTCTTTCTTCGTTGACTTTTTTACTTATTGATATCCTGTCTTGTCCTAAAAAATACGTGTGCTGTGAAGTGTTCGGGGTGCCAGATGTGTACGTTAAGGACAGAATTCAGAGGGACTGGAATGGGTGAGTGGGTGGCGGCATGTGTCTGATGGGGTCACAAGAGAATTTAGGGGTAACGTAGTGATTTCTGTTAATGGCTGAAGGATGTCGAGGAAGCGTCATTTGGAAGGAGGGTGTAACTGCCCACTTTTGGAAGCTTCAGACTAAAGCTGGGAAGCCCTGGAAGGGGTCTCCTCGCTGGCAGTGTAACTAAAGCTGTAGGAGCAAGAGAACGAGAGCGAGAGATGGCGGGTGTGGCAGAGCGAGCAAAGGACGGCTTGTTGTTTCGATCCGCCCAAGAAACAGAAGGTGTTGATTACTCAGCTCACCTCAGATGACTGCAGAATCTCTGTGCTTCGGAGAGGAGGGAGTCTGGAGATTCTTAGTGATGTAGAAGACCTGAGAGCTGCTCTCTTCCGTGAGCCTCTCGTGCTAGAATCCCTTCTGCGGCATCTCTGGTAACCAGTTATCTACCCCCTAGCCTGAATACTTCCCAGGTCACGGAATGGACTGTTTCCCAAGGTCTGCTACTAGGTCCTTGAGAGGAACTTAGTGGGCTGGCAAGAAAGTTCAGGGGCTCTTTGGAACAAAGGCTTGGCTTTGAATCTTACTTCTCTCAATGCCAGTTGTGTTTTCCTGGGCAATCTTAGCTTCCTAGACTCATGACAAATTGGATAATGATACCTACTTCATGATGGCCTTGAGAGATTAATGAGAAAAGGTACATGTGTAAAATGCCTAACACAACACCTGACACATGTAGGTATTTAATAAATGGTCATGTTATTCAGCACTTTACATCCTTTGATTGCAGTTTTGGCTTTTGAGACCATTTATGACACGTATGAATTTGGGGTTATTTTTAATGTAAGGGTTTAAAAAGATAGAATCCTCAAGGTAACCTGAAGATCTGACAGCCCAACATGTCCATGTGGGCTGGTTATCCAAATAGCAAAAGAGTAAATGAGGAATCTTCATTCACAAGGTCTGGGCGAAGACAAGTGGGAGGAAAAGAAAAGGTAAGTCCTGGGATTAAAAGCTGTCATTGCTGAGTTGTAGAACTTGGTGGCCTTTCCTTTGCATATCAGTAAACACCAGCTTAGACACAATAACTCCTTGCCGGTATTCCTGTCTTGACGGACTTCTGTTTAACAATGAAGGCTTGTTGTAATGAATGAAGTGAGCGCGCTGTCTCCTCAGCTGTTGTGTGGCAGTTTAGCCTGTGTTTGTTGTTGTTTTCCAGGAAAACTTAAGAGTCTCAGAGTGAGGGGTGGAGAGGAGATGGGGGGAGCACATGTGAAAGGCCACAGAAGGTGTCCCCTTTGCACCTTGAGATTCTGTTCTTTGTAAGAGATTGGTATATTGCAACAAAAGGCAAAATAGAATTTGATGTAAATTGTAAGGTCTTGTTTCACATGATTGTCAATGAATTGCTTTCATCTGAAATGGAAGCTACACTTGTGGAACCATTTGGGTGAAATTGATACATCCAAACACCATTCCCAGCAAAGGCTTTTCCTGGGACATTTCTCTCCATGTTGTACCTTCTTTTCCCTTTGTCCTCCCCCCCCCCCCGCCCCCCTTGGAAGATGGGTCTTAGTCTCAGGACAAGGGAATCCCGCAGACTACTCACTGCATGGCTTGCCTCCCTCTGTGTAGGCTGAAGAAGAGTTCAGTCAACTTCCTGAGTCTGTACTTTCTGCCAGTAGGTGTGCAACGCACAGAAGAATCATAAATGGATACAGTGCCATTCTGGCCACCCAGCAGCTTAAAATCAAATGTTTAGAGGGTATTATCAGCATGGTATTGAACTAACCACAGCCCTAAGCCTGAAGCCTAACCTTTTTGGGGCTGATTTCAGGTTCTTGGAAGCTAGACTAGGTTAGGACCCTGGGAGGAGGGTGGTCGCAGAGACATGATGATAATGATATTGAGTAACTCTCTGCATAACACCGATAGTCTGTTCAGCCCCAGGGAGGTAATTTGGCAACATATAAAAGTGTTTTTCTTTCTTCTTCTAAAGAAAGAACACAATGAATGTGAAAGCTCTGGGTGACAACTCGTTAGGGAGGCCTACACAGAACTCATTGGACCTGTGCTGTTTTTAATGTATATAAATAACCTGGGTCAGTGGGTCCACAGTGATTTGTTTAATTTGGGTGAGGTAAACCCAAAGGTTTAAGGTGGGGTAAACAGAAAAAAGGCATCAAATGGGCTGTTCTCATGAATGGATAGAGTGGAAAGAAAAATTAATAGTGTGTCCGTTCAAAAGATACTTTCTTGAATCCTTCTGATGTAGGTCTTGCAAGGTTTTGGATGCCCAAGAATGATGGAAGAGGTTGAAAATGGGAAGGCTGTCTGCTAGGGAGCTGAGTGGTGGATTCCTAGAAGTGGCTACATCTGGGGGACGAAAAAACAGCCGTGGGGCTAGACAGTAGCCTGTAAATCACGCCTTGAATGGTGTTTGAAACACGCATGTGAAATCCAGTTGCACATTTTAATAGGGGGAAGCTGTAGGGCCATTGGCCCTCAGTTAAGGTTTCCCACACTGCAGATGCCAGGGCGCTCTGAACACAAGAACCAAAAATGTGTTGCAGGCCTCGGGGGGAGTAGAGATCTATAAAACCAGGGAAATCACCAGTGTGTCCTTGGCTTTCTGATCCCCTAGTGAGGGATGTGAATAAAACGACTGGACACGCTCGCTGCTGTGTGCAGTGGTCAAATGCTTGCAGTCTTGCGAGCGAGCCAGCGTTCTCCGGCAGAAGGAAACGGGCTGAACAGGAAGGTTCTTCCCTAGCTGCTCTCCCTCGCAGTGCAGAGGGGAGCCCTATGAGGGAGGGAGGCTGGGAAGGCAGATGTGAGAAGGTGGAGGGGTGATTTCGCTCCCACTGCCTGGCCGCACACCTGTTCTGGACATAAACAGAGCTCTTAGGCTCTGGGCTATCCGTCTTGACATGTCTCACCAGCACGTGGATCCTCTATATGTCCTTCATGATTGGCGGTTGGAAAGAAAAGCAGTGCTGATTCCGTGTATAAGATAATGGGAAATGACACTTAATTGCTGTTCTAAACTGCATTAAGGGGAAATCATAAGGTTGTCAACAAGAGGAAGTGCTCTGCTGTGTTTGTGTTTACTGGGTTCTTTCTGCCATATAAAATAGAGGACTGGGTTTTTTCAGGCTTTCTCCGAGTCTGTGCTTTCAGTACAGAAAAACACACATATACGTACATCTATAAAACAAGAAAGAAACTAGAGCAGTGTCGTTTCATTATGAGATTTGTTTAGGCCTGAGTAGCTCCACAGTGCCTGGGCAGTGGATGTGTAATTTAAAATTCAGCTCTATCCTTAGTAAGAAGTCAGGCCACTGGTGACGTTCCATCTTTTTCCTCCCTCGAATTTCCCCTAAAGAATAGCTGATTTTATTTCTTCTCTCTGTCCAGTTATGCTGTACAGAATGGCCTGTTTTAGGGAAGTAGCTAGCGTGGTACGCTTAAAACAAAAATCGGACACGAAGACCAGGTGCAAAAAATAAATAAGGTGTGTGAGAATTAGATAGTTTTTCAGTCTGTGCCCTATGGCAGCCTAGGGAAAACAGCAAGAACTTTCGGTCATGAAATCCTTCCCCTTGTAAGATAGATCTCATTGTAGCCCACCCAGCAGAGAAGTCTTTGCTAGTATGAATTGGTAGAAAAATGTAAGGAGCTTTGTGATTTTTTTTTTTTTTTAAGAGAAGAATTTTCTGTTACAACTTTTCATTTGGCTTCTCGGTTCTAATCTCTAGAATAATATTTGATAAGCACTATTTTTATCAAGGCATCTCTCATCAGAAAACCACAGGCACTTCTCATGTCAAAATCCAAGTCCTCTGCGTTGCATTCAGAGTTCACCACTCAGTCCCACATTCTCCATCCTTAGTGGTCTCTCCAACAAATACTTACGTTTCCAGCCATCTCTGTACTTGCTGTCCCCAGCATCTTCCGCCTTCATTTCCACTTCCATGCATCTGAAGAAGCTCTGCTGGGAGCTTGGAAGGATTTCTTCCTTGTCTGCTTCTGTCTACCAGTCTCTGAGTTTAACTTCTTCTAAAGACTGACATGTACCAGCCCCAGCCCTACTCTGATTTCTCGTCGATTGATGATCTTCTTGGTGTTCATTTGACCTTTTGGATATGCTGTTGGTTCTGTCCCCTAATTTTCCAGTGGGAATAGTTAGGTAGATCCTTATTAAATACTGACTTCTCGTAACTGACCAACGATTTCTTGGAGGCATCACGGTTTTCAGTTCAGTTAATTGTACCGAGTCTCCTAGCCTGTCTGACTGACTCCACAGGACCAAGCTGCACAGCGGTAAGTTAATTTCATTTCCATTTAAGAGGCAAGTTCAAAAGACAGACGATCCAAAGATGAAACCTTAGGGATTGCTCTGAGAGAAGCTTTCTGACACATCAGTCTGCCAGGAGGAAACGATCTTCCTTGACCAAAGAGTGTTTCCAACTTTATCATTGTTCCCTGGATAACGAGACCTTCTGTACAGAAGTGGGAAACTGAAGTTTGAGACAGGGTGTAAGCCTTTCCAGTACTCAGGAGGAGACAGGAAGTGTGGTGGCACTGGGGAGATGGGCATTACCAGTGTGGTTACCTGGTAGCAGAGCGCCTTGGAGCAAGCGCACATAATCATTTGACCCTGGAATGGACTAGCTTGTTCTCTGCGTCTGTGTCAAAAAACATACAGTGTGGGCTTCCCTGGTGGCGCAGTGGTTGAGAGTCCGCCTGCCGACGCAGGGGACACGGGTTCGTGCCCCGGTCCGGGAAGATCCCACATGCCGCGGAGCGGCTGGGCCCATGAGCCATGGCCGCTGAGCCTGCGCGTCCGGAGCCTGTGCTCCACAACAAGAGAGGCCGCAACAGTGAGAGGCCCGCGTACTGCAAAAAACAAAACAAAACAAAACAAAAACCATACAGTGTTTGGTTGCTGTTAAATCCAGTTCGGAGAAGCTGTAGAGTGAAACTGACCCACAAAACTCATAGATTAGTAAAAATCTTTTACTCTCCCTGAAAATTTTGCCCACCAGCCTTTTAACATAATATATGGGTTAGAGGAGACTTGTAGTGGTTAATTTCTACAAGCCATAAATCAAGGATTGGCACACTTTTTCTGTAAAGGGCCAGATCAAAAATACTTTCAGCTTTGTGGGCCGTAGAGTCTCTGGTAGAACCAGTTAACAGTGCCACTGTAATGTGAAAGCAGCCGTAGACAATATGTAAACAGATGGACATGGCTGTGTTCCAATAAAACTTTATGTGCAAAAGCAGGGGAGGCTGGATTTGGCCCATGGATTGCATGTTGCTGAACCCTGCCATAGATGACTGGTGGGAAAAATTACAGCAATACCCATGAAATTAATCCTGTCTTTAATAAATGTCATTATAGACCTTTATATTTAACATATAGACTCTTTCTAGATGTCACTTAAAATATAACTTGACCTAAATATATTCTTTGTTTCATATATGAAATATAGGGCATTAAGTAGAGCTTTAAAACTGTTATTGTGTGAATTACACTTATGCTTGAAAGAAAATCTTCTCTAAGAATTGTATTGAGTCTGGCGCCAAACTATCAATTCATTTAACCTTGACTGCAGCAATACTTGACACTTAAAAATTAAGATCTGAGATGCCTCCTTTTTGAAGAGAAGCTTTTCAGATTTCCAAATAGGTCAGACATAAAATTCAACCTTTAAGAGGATCCAGTTAGTTGCTAGGGCATCAGACCCCTTCCACACAGGTTCCAGTTGCAGTCGGATTTCTCTTGGGGTGAAAGAAAGAAGAGTGGTTTCTTTAAAAATGACTCCTGAGTGAATAATTGTGAAATACAAAGATCTACGTCGTTTATAGCACGTGGGATACAAGGCATAATTTCAGTGGCTTGGCCGTCATTAATTAATTTTTTATTTATTTTTGGCTGCGTTGGGTCTTTGTTGCTGTGTGCGGGCTTTCTCTGGTTGCGGTGAGCGGGGGCTACTCTTCGTTGCGCTGCATGGGCTTCTCATTGCGGTGGCTTCTCTTGTTGCAGAGCATGGGCTCTAGGCGCACAGGCTTCAGTAGTTGTGGCACGTGGGCTCAGTAATTGTGGCCCGCAGGCTCTAGAGCGCAGGCTCAGTAGTTGTGGCACACGAGCTTAGTTGCTCCGCGGCATGTGGGATCTTCCCGGACCAGGGCTCGAACCCGTGTCCCCTGCATTGGCAGGAGGATTCTTAACCACTGTGCCACCAGGGAAGCCCTTGGCCGTTATTGTTTAATAGGTTCTGCTGGTCTCAAAATTATCTGGCCAGAGAATACTAACCTTCCCTTTTTTGACTTCAGAATTTCTACACTAAAATCTGATCTAGAGTTTATTTTAGTGCTTATTATGAGGAGTGGCATTTCTCCTATAAAGACTTAAGAATTCTGTAACTCCAGTGGTGCAAAGTGGTACAGATGATTCCGCATCTTCTATTAGACATCCAAAAGTCTTCAGCGGTTAAATTATAGACCTTGCCCTCATCAGCAAATAGGGAGCCTCCGAAATTATCACTACCCTGTAGTCGAATATCATGTGACAGACCCTTCCCAAGAAACCCACCTGCCTGAGATTTCTGTGACTTTCTGAATTCGCCACAGTTTCATGTGCCAAGGATTGAAAAACATTTCAAATATAAGCTTTCCATGTCCTGGGAACTCAGTCAACTCGCCCATCTCCCTCTTCCCATGCCAAGAAAAACATTTGTTCCTCAGAAGTACAAGCATATACTACCCAACTCATTCAGAGCTAGTTCCTAGCAACACCAGAATTTGCTTCATAATTCCGCAGCTGACTTTTGCATTTCTTGGTTGGAGGTTACCTTAAAGTCCTCCAGAACCTCAGTTGTGGGAAGTATCTAAAAGGAAGAAGAAATTTACTTTATTCTTTGGCAGAAAATATATTCAATTGTTAGGCAAATCATCCAAAATTATCTCGGGTCTTTTTCGAAAGGAAGATTTTTTGTCTTATCATTGCCCACCTTGATTTTTTTTTCCCCCTGGAACCAGAGCTAGATATTTTAGTGCAATTTTATTGAATATAAAATCCCTTAAACTCTTTTGAGACTTCTTATGATTCATAGGTCCTCTCCTCTCTTCCAAATACTGTTCTGCACTAGAGGATTTTATACAAACAGAGGGAAGGGTATTGGATCTGGGAGGACTAGTGTGTGTGAGCCGTGATTCAGAGGTAGATATCCTGGGGCAGCTTTGCTGGAGCAGAGGGTATGTCCCGGGCAAGATGGCCATGTGAAAAAGAATTGTTTTTAAGAGCCGAGATGAGAAGTTGCTAGAAATAACCTTCTTGAAGCAGCTATTATTTATTTTTTAAAATAAATTATGTGAGTTTTGGTGGTGTGGCCCAGCATGTCCAAATGATGTACACATTTTCTTAATTCATTCATAATCCTAAATAATATCCTATTGAAAAATTCCAGTGGTGGTACTTAATCAAAAACGGCAAGATAAAGACTGGCCAGACTGACGTGAAAGGTTCAGGTAAGTTGGGTCTGCTTGCCTTTTACTGAAGTCAGTCCCTTGCTGTTTATGCCCAGGAAGGGACGTGTTCCTGCCAGAGTGCTCCTCTGTTTTGTAAGTAGTTTCATAGTCGTCAGGGTCAACCCAAAAGAGGTGTTTGGCTAAGAGTACAGGGCTCAGCTAAGGTTTTATTTACCTGTACACTGCTCTTGGAGAAGTCATTCCAGGGCTACGCTCTCCAGCTTCCTCGGGGACACAAAATATTCTTACCTGCCTCATGGAAGCCACCTCCTATGTCATCTCTTACGTTCATGTGCTGTGAGCCCTCCACCAGAGCTGTTGTGATTGCCCCATCGGGCAACACAGGATGACCTTCTCAACCTTTCCCGGAGTCCTTGATTTTTAGCACTCCTAGTTACTTTTTTCTCCATGACCAGTTTGAAAGTCATCCATTCTGGGTTATTATAAGGTTTCTGGCTGTCGTCTCTTGGTTTAATTCTGAAGTGGTAAAATTAATCATAATTTTTATTTACTTCGGCTGACTGCCTTAAATTTGCCATCAGATTTAATATGTCTGATGAATCAGAATTACATATTATTATTAGTCTCATTTTACAGAGAAGGAAACTGAGACTGAAATGATGAGTCCCAAAGTCATAAAACATGTATGTGGTGGACCTTGTCTGAACCCAAAGCTTATGCCCTTAACCTTTGTGCCATTTCATCAAAGAGTCGCAGCAGAAACACACATGCATAAATGAGCCAGAGTGGAGAAGATGAAACCTATTCTTACATGTCTGGGGGCCCTGGAATCTTCCAAAGGAAAATAAAGCCAAATTTTATTGTTGATTGACAGTTAGAGCTTAAGTTAATAAATACGTAGAGTTAATTAGAAGAGCAGAATATAACAAGTGAGAAATTTTGCATTTGGATTTTATTGGCTGCAGCCATGGAGAAGAGAAGGAATTGATGAATCCTGGAGGGCTTCTTGGAAGAGGTGGGACTCAGGCTGGGCCTTGAAGGGCGAGTAGGATTTTTTTATGGGCAGATCGAAGTCTGTTCCAGGTGGGAGGAGTATCAGAAGTGACCAAACTTAAAGAATGGTTCCTGGGATGGCAAGAAGACCAGTCTGGCTAGAGTGGAGGGTGTGTAGGGAAGTTATTGGGAGGATAGTTGGCGAGATGAGGGAGGTAGAACCAAACTGTAGGGGTAATTAACACCAGGGAGAGGTCTTTTCATTGTTAAGAAGCTGGGCTAAACAGGGAAGACCAGCAGCGAGGTCCCTGTCCCCTTTGGCAGTGGGAGGGTACTTTTGAGCTATGGGTGCCTGATGTTGATACCTGTAAGTCTTCAAGAATGAATGTGCATTAAAACTAGTCATGGGAGGTACTTATCCCTTTTGAAGACGTCTGCATAGATTTTTCCTCCTGACGACAAGAGTAATACCTACTTAGGATTAAAGAACAGCTTTATGGCAGTACATAACATAAAATGTGAGGGCCACCCATAATGCCAGCCTCTCTGCATCCAAAAGAATTTAATAACAGTCTGCTGTAGAATCATCTAGATGTTTCTTCTTTGCATATACAGACAGGCTCTGTTTTGTTATTTTAATTTTTTTCTAAAACTGGGACCACAGTATACAAACGACTTTTTTTTCATGTTTTTGTCTTTACTTGGAAGATTCTATCACTATTTGACTCACCATAGTTTTAAAATGTGAGGGTCCATATCTCAAAACAAACCAACAAAAATGATTCCCCTTCAAATCATAAACATTGAGTACTTAAAGGCTTCAAGAATTTTTGTGTGAATGTGATATATGTGTTTAAGATGGGAGTCTCAGAATTATATAAGGCCTTTGAGGTTTCGCCAATCAAAATTTCACTCATTTATTTCACCTTAAAGGCTCATTCACCTTCTAAAAAATTATTTAAGTAAAGTCTCTCTTCCTACTGCTTAAGACTTAATACATTTGAAATACTGGCAAATGGTCCATAGTTAAATGACAAAATCAAGATTACAGACTGTCTAGACTGTTCAGAGTAATGAGCTGAAAATGAGATTTTGTTAGGGAATAAATATAAAACATGTTGGGTAGCTTCTGACCTTTGTATTCACTTCCATTACTAGACTTGCCAAATATTCTTATAATTGTCGGTTATCATATCTGTCTCCACAACTAAAGTGTGTGCTCTCTGAGGTCAAGGACTATTTCAGAGTCTT